GACATCCTTGTCTTGTTCCCTTTACGTCTCCAGGTTTGTCAGTCAGTTCTTTTTCATGAGGCAGACAGAGCAACGACTAACAGCATCCTGTGCTGTTCTTATGCAGATGCAGATCGGGTGCAGTGCGACAAGATTGCACAAATGCTGGAAGAAGAGGAGCGCCAACGGAAAAAGCAGCTTCACCAGGCTGTCTTGGATTTTCGCGAGCGGGAGCAACAGCCCTCCATGCGCCGGGAGTGGGACATCCATGACCCAGAGGCGACACGCAAAGGCCACCCAGCCCGCCTGAGTGACGATGACCCTCGCTGTGGCCCTTCTAGCATGCAGCGCTTTGCTGGTGAGGACCTGAATGCGAACGCTCGGCAAAAACTTCTAAAGGAGCAGAACAAACGCATCCTGGAGGAGCAGAGAAGTGAACGGGAGAAGGACCTCGCTGACCGTAAATATGCTGGTATGTTCAGGATGGGGTGTGTGAAATGCCCTCGAGATCCTTTGCTTGGGGACACAGGAGTGCGAAGCTGGTGTTGTGTGGGAGGAGGCCATGCAGCTGCTGTGGTTGACAAAGGAATGTGGAGAATAACATCTAGCTGGTCCCAGCATTGGCCCTGCCCAAGACACTCAAGTGCCTCAGGTGGAGTAAATCATTCTGCACAGCCAGTTTCCCTGCAACGTACTTGGCCTCAGTTCTGGGTGAAAATGTAGAACTGCAAGCTTTGTTTGTTTCCCTTGAGCTCTGCTGAATAGCTATCCTCTTCTTAAGACCGTTTGTATTACTCAGAAGTTGGAGATGAAGGAATTCTCCTGCATTTTCTACAAGCATTTCCATGCTTGACTATGCTATACAGAGGCAAGACGAATGCCTCGCAAGACGAAAAACCCGCTTAGACGAAAGGGTTTTCCGTTTTTCGATGCGCTTCGCAAGACGATTTTCCCTATGGGCTTGCATCACAAGCCCTACTGAAACAGTTAGGAGCTGCAAAGCAACACAGATGTGTCTGTCTCCCATTCTGATACTCTTATGCCATTCCAAATCTACTGCCTCACTTTGCCTTATGGGAGGATCAGGTGTGTGTGTACATAGCTTGACTGCATGCCAGAACACCTGCTTTCCTTGTAGACATCCTGGAGGACAAAAAGAGGATAGAGCTGGACCTACGAGCCCTGGAACTGGCACGTTTGGAGGAAGAGTGTCGCAAGGCTAAAGCCATGGCAATAGCTGACTTTAATCGAGCCCAGGTACCATCTTCCTATATTCATTAGCTATTCATCTGCATCGTTCTTCAACCTCTAGATGTTTTGGACTCCCAACTTCCATCATCCCTGATCACTGGGCATGCTGACCAGGGCTAGTGGAAGTTGTAGTGCACACAAGTGGAGAGTACCAAGTTGGGAAAGGCTGGGCTAGAAAGACATGAGCACAAGGCTTTATGCATCCCATCTACTCCTTTCCCAAACCAGGCTGCAGAGGTTGCTGAGCAGCAGCGTCTGGCCCAGCAGCGTGAGCAGGACAATAACTATGCAGAAATCTACAACCACCTGACGGGTGACCTCCTGACAGAAAACCCTGACATCGCCAAAAGCCTTGTGGGCCCACACCGTGTGATCACGGACCGCTGGAAGGGGATGACCTCTGCAGAAGTGGAGGCTGTGCGGAAAGCACAGGAGGAGCAGTGTAAGGAGAAGCAGGCAAGTGGCAGCATAGCTGATGCTGCAGCAAGAAAGCTTGTGAGTTACACAAGTTCCTTCGTAACAAATTCAACTAAGAGGATGTCCAGAAAATGGTGGGAATGTGCTGACATGGGCAATACAGATGAGTAGGTAGGTCTTTGCATAATATGCAAGGTGTGTGTACACTAGGTGGCAATCCATTACCTGTCCAGAGCACAGTGGAGCTAAATAACATGGAATGCTTTCCCTTGTAAGCTCAAGAATGGTCCATTATGTAGGAGAGAAGAGAGCAGCAGGTACATTGGCCTAAGCACAGCCCTTATCTATGCATTTTAAGAGCATTTTCCTTATTGTGGGATTCAACTAAGTTACTGCATGCATGGAATGAGGGCCGCACATGCGGTGGGACCCCATCACCCCCTAAATCTGCTCTGGAGAGTTGGAGGAACCCCCAAAGTAGGTTTAGGGGGCACACAGGGAAAGGAGATGGGAAGTCCTGTTGCACAAGCAGACCTTGTTCTGTGCACACCCACCCCACTTGGTGCTATGTTGAATTCCTCTGTTATGCTGGGGGGGGGGTTACAAAATTTTGGATGGTGTTTCTTTCCCAGATGAAAGATCAGTCTTTATCTTTCCATCCTGGAATGTTACAAAGGTTCTGTTTCCCTCTCTCTATATATATAAAATATAAATCACAGTTCAAAATACAAAATATAAATCACAGTTCAGCTTTTACATTGATTAACTCAAGAACACCTTACAACAGCCCTGTAAGGGAGGACAGTACCAACTCCATATTAACATTTGAGGGGGTTAGGTAACGGTTGAGAGAACAGTGGCTTGTGAGTTTGTAGCAAGAGTAGAGATTTTACCCAGGGGTGAAAGTTTTCACTTCTATCAGCCACATTATGCCTGAGCATATTCTCTCCCACTCTGTTAGAGGCTGCGGGAAGAAGAGCAGCAGAGGGAGGCTGAATGGGATCGGCAGCGGGAGTTGGCTGGCCGTGCCGCCATGGAGATGGAGCAGCAGGAGCAGAATTTCCGCCAGCAGCTGAGGAAGAGCCTGGATGCCTACAACCAGGATCTGGCGGATGCACAGAAGTCAAAGTGAGTAGGCCAAGGATGAAAGGTTCCTCCCTGCCCCCGGGAGGTGGAAATGAGGCAGCCTCCTCAGGTAGAGAATTGCAGGTACCCTGAAGGACAGGCTGAGCTTTGTCTAGAAGCACCACCACCTGCGCTCAATGCCTTTCTTCCCCCTAATCCTTACTACTCTTTGTGGTGATCCAGAGGTGAGGGAGATGCATTAGGCACATATTCAGAGGCATTTTCATCTTTTCTTCCTAGGTTACATCCTGCTACTGAAAACAGACGCCAAGGCTGACTCTTCCTTGGCACTAATGAAGTGACAAACATTTCCACTGAACACACTTCTGTTCTTTGTTTTACAGTTTACAGTATATGGAGAAAGAGGTCTACTCCAATGTACCCACAGCCCAGTACCACTTGCAGTTTAACACTAGCAGCCGCTGACTGAAGTATAACAAACCCAGTTCCAAATCTGGTTGGAACGAAGGCTTTGCGTTCAGTAAAGTATTTTTTGTGCAGTATTGTCATCTGCTGGTTGTAATGTAGAATTACAAGGACAAAGCAACTGATGTTTGTTAGACCATAGTTTCCATGTTATTGCCTGAAGACCACTCCACAATCGCTCCACGTGGATGTCTATACCAGTGTAAAATGTTGCTCAACCACATGGCAAGCTACTTTGCATAAATGTCTTGCCATATGATTGTTAAGTGCCGTGTAGAGTGAATCGGCTTCCCTAATGTGTGAATGGGTCCTCGGAGAAGAGAATTAGAGTAAGGGGCTAGGGTGGTTTGTTTTGCACACACATCACAGAACAGAGTGCCTTAACAACAAAATGTGGAACTCCAAAGGAACATCTCTATACAGCTTTTCCTCAGGATCAGGTGCTAGTATTTCTGGGATCTGTAGGTGGTTTAGCTCAGAATGGTTTGCTTATCCACAACAGCCAAGAAATACAAGATCAAAGCCATCGGGGCAAACTGCACAGTCAGCTTCTTCCTCTCAACAGGGACTAAACATTATTTTAAGAATTCATAAATTCTTAATATAAAATATCTAAGCAGTGAACAAGTGTATATAAAATACATTATGTTCTGAACAGCCTTGTGATCTTTGAATGAAGGATGGTATACAAACATACACCTCATCATCATTGCCATACAATATACAGTGGTACCTCGCAAGACGAATGCCTCGCAGGACAAAAAACTCGCTAGACGAAAGGGTTTTTTGTTTTTTGAGCTGCTTCGCAAGACGATTTTCCCTATGGGCTTGCTTCGCAAGACGGAAACGTCTTGCAAGTTTGTTTCCTTTTTCTTAACACCGTTAATACAGTTGCGACTTCGAGGAACAACTCATAGCACGTGGTGTGGTAGCCTTTTTTGAGGTTTTTGAAGACTTTGGTGATTTTTGAAGCTTTTCCAAAACTTTCCCGACACCGTGCTTCGCAAGACGAAAAAAATCGCAAGACGACAAAACTCGCGGAATGAATTAATTTCGTCTTGCGAGGCACCACTGTAAAGTCTAATAAAACCCCTTTATTGTATGTTACTGCCTGCAAGCTAAAAACAAATTCAGCAGGGCCTGTCCATACTTGCTGGTGCTTGCAGTTATGCAGTAGCAAGACTAAGACTGGAGTCCAGAAAGCCACTCTGCCCCCATAAGCTGCGATTCTCAGCTTTCATGTGCAGCAACACAATCTGATACACAGCTTTTCCTGGCTACAGAAGTCTGGTATCCGAGTTTTATAATTCAAAAACCAGATAACAGGCAGTATAAAATGGCCGTGGTCATAGCCAGGGTATAGGACTTCACTGCCCCACACTAACATACTCCCCTCTAACTACCACTCTTCCTTTCATACTCCCTGACTTGCTTTGCTACTCCACACTACTATTGCTATTTCCCCCCCAAGAGCTCTAAATAATTTGAAAGCTTTAGAAATAAGTTGCCTACTTTATTTGCACAATTTGATTTAGTAAGACTTTGCTTTCCTTCACTCTCAGATTTGTGTGTGTGTGTTGCACATGCATGTTATCCTCATCATAGACTGAGTAGAAGAGACAAAGAAGATCAACACCAAACAGAATCACAGGTGTCTTTGGTAGTAAAACAGAGACAGGGCTCCTGGATTGCATTGCAAATTTGGAACAGGGACTTATTAGTGGGTTAGAAGACTAGAGCATAGGGTTTTCTAGATTGTCCCACTAGCAAGGGATGAGAAGACTCATACAGCAAGAGAAGAGGAGCATACAATTAATTCATTTATTATAGTCCAGATGTTAATCATTTGCTTTTGCTAACCTAGATTCCAGTTGAGGAAGCATAGCAGAGGCAGCTGTAATCATCAGCAGATTCAAAAGTACCATGATTATGGTCCAGTGGGCAGAGAAACAATCCCTGACTTGTGATGGGGAAGCAAACCCTCTCGCTCTTCCAGGGCCAAGCTTACAGTTCAGGGCTGCATTCGGATAGCCCCATCAAGCCGGATCACCTCTCCATTGAGCATGGGGTTCTCCACTATGCATTGCACCAGGTGGGCATACTCCTCCGGAGCACCAAGACGACTTGGGAAGGGCACCTGCCGTGCCAGGAATGTCCTCACTTTCTCAGGAAGTGATGCCAGAAGAGGTGTTGCAAAGAGACCTGGAAAAAACAAAAGCACACTCAGGGTTGCCCCAGTCTCTGTTCTTTACACTTTTACAATGCCTATTAAGCAGAGCATTGTGTGAGTGTGCCACAATTATTGGAGCACAGAATGCATTGCGGGGTGCAGAATTTAGCTTCCTAAGCAGCTTAGTTTTTGTTTTAAAATGAGTTTCTAGGACTTACAGCTGCAAAGATCGGTTCAAAAGTGCATGGTCAGCACCTGCTGAAATCAGAAATGTGACAGGTGGTTCAATAAGGATTCCAGAAGTTCAGTGCCACATACAGCCCTATGCCTAGGACTAAATATGCAAGATATTCTGGATAGGACATGGAAAAGGCAAATTTGCATAAATGTATGCAGATAGCACTACCCCCACTAATGAATTCTGTACCAAGTTCTGTGGAGTATACAATCCTGCCATTACAGCCTCCAAGAGCACCTTCCTTACCCAAAGCCCAGATTCAAGGAAGGAGCGCTACCTGGTGCAATGGTAACCACTCGGATCCCCAAAGGTGCAAGATCCCGAGCGATGGGCAGCGTCATTCCCACAATGCCTCCTTTGGAAGCGGAATAGGCAGCCTGGCCAACCTGGGGAGGGAAAAAAACAATGGCGCTCTAAACCCTTATTAAAGTCACAAGTGTTCTCTGAAATGCGTATGTGGAGGGTGTGGAGATTGCGTAGCACCGCAACAAGCCTGCCGGAGGTATAGGAAGCCTGAGCAGGGCAGGGCAGTAATCTGAAGTCACTCTTAATTGGGGCAAGGTGAGGGGGTAGAAAGCAAGTCACTGGAAGCCCTTAAACAGGTTTGGGGGAAAATTTCCTCCCAGCCCTCCATCCAAACTCCTTTAAGCAAGTGTGGGGAAACCGACTCTCCAGATGTTGCTGAATTACAGCTCCTATCAGCCTCACCCAGAATGCACAGCCAATGGCCAGGGATGGTGGGGGTTATGGTTCAGCAACATCCAGGAGCAGACACTGGCCATTGTTAGGTTACCTTTTATAAAGCTGTGGGGAAACTCAGAAGGTAACATAACAATGGCCAATGTCTTTGGTACAAGACAATCCTTACTCTATTCCTTGCTGAAGAACATATACAGCCCCTTGCCTCAGGCTTGGTACACCTTTAGTCTGCAGACCAGTGTGGTATAGGAGAACAGGGCAGAACACAAGCCTGCCCGAGTATCACAGGCAAACCTGTAAGTCTCTCACTCTCTCTACTGCTGGGTAGAAGTTTTCTGAATCACTGGCTGCCTCAAAGCTAGAGGCTGGTCATCTTTGAGTCAATTCAGCTTTGATGCCTAAACCCTGCCTCTCAATACAAAGTCTCTTGTCATCTTGTGAACCAAGAGGAAACCTGTGATTTTTTTTTTAACCTTATGGAATTAATATTCCATTTTACTGTACTCCCCTGCCATTACACATTCAGAACGGGCACATATGTACACACAACCCAAGTAAGGCAACAGTGCTCCCAGAAATGCCAGCAAAGCATTGTGGTCTGTCAGGTGCATCCCTTGTACAGTGCAGTAGAAGCTGGGGCACACATGGTGGGAGTACCTGGTGCTAATCCTGTCCAGACAACATCTGCCCAACTTGGAGTATGGGTGGCATAGAATTATTATTAATTTTAATATGTTGATGATCTGTTTTATTGAGCTTGAGATACAAGATGTTTCCCTCTGCTCAGTAACTTACAGTCTCCACGTTTCCGGGACAAAGCAGAGCAATAATTAACCCTAGACTATTCTACTGATGCCTGCCAACCTAGCAGTTCGAAAGCACCCCCGGGTGCAAGTAGATAAATAGGGACCGCTTTATAGCGGGAAGGTAAACGGCATTCCGTGTGCTGCACTGGCTCGCCAGGTGCAGCTTGTCATGCTGGCCACGTGACCCGGAAGTGTCTCCAGACAGCGCTGGCTCCCGGCCTATAAAGTGAGATGAGCGCACAACCCTAGAGTCTGGGGCCCGTAAGGGCAGGGGTACCTTTACCTTTATTCTACTGATAAGGGACGCAGGTGGCGCTGTGGGTAAAACCTCAGTGCCTAGGACTTGCCGATCGTATGGTCAGCGGTTCGAATCCCCGCGGCGGGGTGAGCTCCCATCGTTCGGTCCCAGCTCCTGCCCACCTAGCAGTTCGAAAGCACTCTTAAGTGCAAGTAGATAAATAGGGACCGCTTTATAGCGGGAAGGTAAACGGCGTTTCCGTGTGCTGCGCTGGTGCTGGCTCGCCAGCTGCAGCTTCGTCACGCTGGCCACGTGACCCGGAAGTGTCTTCGGACGGCGCCGGCTCACGGCCTCTAGAGCGAGATGAGCACGCAACCCTAGAGTCGGACACGACTGGCCCGTATGGGCAGGGGTACCTTTATTCTACTGATGTTGTACAGAAGAAATGGGGAACTTCAGGTCTTCCAGACATAATCCCTGACCACTGCCCATACTGGCTGGGGCTGGTGGGAGTTGCAATCCAACAAAGACCTTTATGGTCCTGCTCTTCTGTAAGAATGGCACTAAGCATAGGACACGTGTGTGTATACTGCTTTAAGGTAGTGTCAGCTGGGTGTTGCCAACCAGGCCAGCTGGCAGTGGATGTGATCAACAAAAGGCAACATGTGGGCTAATACGTGCAAGAAGTCATGAACTAACAGAAGTCAAATAAATATTCCATCAACATGCTTAGAATGGTATGTAACCACAAAGAAACACTGAAGTTGAGGCAGAAAGCCTTTCCACAGTTCATATCTATATCAAAGTTTGGTTGAGAATGAACGAGCCGGGTGGTGCTGTAAGCACAGCAACAACAAACAGCAAACAGAACAGTTCTTCCTGTGACTTCTTGCACGTATTATATGGCTTTTGTTTATGAATTAAGAAACAATTTATAGTGTTTAATAAATATTGCCAATACATTATTAGCTCACGTGTTGCCTTTTGTTGATCAGATTCTTTTGTGTTGTAACACAAGGGATTCTCTTTGTCTCATACAGCTGGCAGGGGAGGCTTGAGACTTACCTGCCCCTCAAAGGCAGCCACACTGGCAGTGTTGATGATTACCCCTCTGTGCCCATCTGAGTCGGGCTCATTCCGCCCCATTTCACCTGCTGTCAGACGGATTACGTTGAATGTTCCAGCAATATTCACCTGAGGAACACAGGCAGGTGGAAGTTATGCACCCCAAAGCTTGGCCCTTCCTTACCCCTTTCAAACCAATAGTGAAAGGCATCACCTTTACTTCATCACATTAGAACTCTGGGTCTAGCAAACACCTCTTGTCACTCAAAATCATTAAGTCAAATATTAATATTAAACTCAATCGTTCCTTCTGATGGGGGTACAAACAATACTGCCCAACACAGCCTTTGACATACAGCAAGCGACTATTATAATCTGGGCAGGAATCTGAAGGGCCTTGGAGCACAGGTGGTTTTTCCATCACTCCCTGTTGAATGTCATGGCCCAGGAAAAGAGGGAAATACTGGAAGGAAAACAGTGGCTTGTATGCATGGTGTTGTCAGGAAAGGTCTCTGCTTCCTTGAGAAAGGACTTCAGGCAAGAAATGGGTGGCACCTCATAGCGGTTGGCAAGAAGGTCTTTGCTCAGAGTCTCATGAACCTGATCAGGAAAGCTTTAATCCAAATCCTGAGGGGCAGGAAGACAGTTGAAAGGAGAACCCCCGGTACTGGCGATAATAGCTTCATTCACGCACAGGAAACTGAGGTCCTGCAACAGAAACCTGCTAAAGGGCAGGAAACTACAAGAAGGAAGTAGCTGGAAGGAATGACTTGTTCTGCTTGTCTCTATACCAAAGTACAGTGTATGGGAAACAAGCAAAATGAATTTGAGTTCTTAATACAATATAGTGGACATTACTGAAACCTGGTGGGGTCGGACTCATGACTAGAACGTGGAAACTGAGGGGTACAACTTGTTTAAAAGGAATAGACCAAACAGGAAGGGATGAATAGTGTTATATGTAAAAGATTATATGAGTAAAAACTGTAGGAGATGGAAACAACAGTAACCTTATTGTGGGTGTGCTATAGACCTCCAAGCGAGACTGAAGATTTGCACGATTCCTTCCTAGAGCAGATTACCAAACATTCAAAAAAGAAAGAGATAATAGTCATAGAAGACTTCAATTACCTCAATATCTGTTGGATATCAAGCTCTGCCAAGAATGTAACAAATTCCTCCACTGCCTCACTAACAATTTCATTTCCCAGAAGGTAGAAGAAGCAACAAGAGGATCATCTATCTTGGACCTTGTCCTCACCAACAGGGAGTAACTGACTGATGAAATGGAAGTACTAGGAAACTTGGGAGGAAGCAATCATTTACTTGGTTTCATTATACAAAGGCAAGGGAAAGCTGAGTGCAGTCAGACCTGTGCACTTTGGACTTTAAGAAGGCTGATTTCAAAAACACCATGAGATCACATGGTCAGAAATACTCAAATAGCAGGGAGTCTGAATGGTTGGAAGTTTCTTAAAGGTAAACCATAGGCACAAATGCTAACAATTCCAACAAGAACGAAAATTGGGAGGCACCAAAAGAAACCAGTGTGGCTGCAAAAGGAGCTTACAGAGATGTAAGAAGGGAATGCAGCAGCAAAAAAGCTAATGCTATTATAGGCTGCATCAACAGTAGTGTCCAGATCAAGGGCAGTAATAGTACCACTCTGTTCTGCTTTGGTCAGACCACACCTAGAGTCCTGTGTCCAGTTCTGGGCACCACAATTTAAGAATACTGGGTGCAAAGAAGGGTGACCAAGATTATTAAGGGTCTGCAAACCAAACCTTATGAGAAATAGTTGAGGGAGTAGTGGGTGGGGGGAGAGTTGAAATGGAAATGGAAAAAGGAGGATGAAAAGGAGTACAGTGGTACCTCGGGTTTAGTACTTAATTTGTTCCAGAGGTCCGTACTTAACCTGAAACTGTTCTTAACCTGAAGCACCACTTTAGCTAATGGGGACTCCTCCGTGCCGCTGCCGCCGCACCACGATTTCTGTTCTCATCCTGAAGCAAAGTTCTTAACCTGAAGCACTATTTCTGGGTTAGCGGAGTCTGTAACCTGAAGCATATGTAACCTAAAGCGTATGTAACCCGAGGTACCACTGTAACTTGAAAAGGAGCAGAGTATGGCTGGCTGACAGGCACCTTGAAGAGGAACACTCCACGCGACAACATTTTGTTACAGATCCCACTTGCTCAGTCAGGTATCTCAATTTTTTTGCTGTTTTTGTGAGGCAAGAATGGTTAGGGAAATGGTTGGAGCAAGAACACTTGATGACAAACCAATAACAAGAATGGACTAGGGTTTTCTTAATGCTCACATTAATAACTCTCTGGAAGTCTTCCAAGTTGTGAGGAAGGTCCTTCTTAATATTATAGGTCTTGACAGCCACTGCAATCCCAGCACAGTTCACGGCCACATCCACACGGCCAAACTTTTCCCGTGCCAGTGCTAGGGCAGCCTTCACATCTGACTCTGATGTTACCTGGGAAAGGAGAGGAAACCACTTAGCTCAGCTGCTCCTCCATGGGTACAACCTCTTTATCAAATCCCCCTTTGAAAAATCCCTACATCAGCCGGAGCAAAGATGCATCTCTCTCCCAGCGATTTGGCCACGCTCTCCCCATCGGACTTGGGCAGATCCACAAGCACAGCGCTGCCTCCCTGCTGCACCAGCCGCTCTGCCGTGGCCCGGCCTAGGCCCGAAGCCCCGCCGGTCACCAGGCCAACCATTCCCTGGAAGTCGAGAGAATCAAGAGAAAATTACCCTTCAGGTAAAGCAGGAGTGCCAAGAGGTTCTGAAGTGTTCAATGCCTTCCAGGCTCAGTCACGCTCTGGGTTTGAAAAAGGCGCCAGGGCTGCCCAGCATTCCTTCCCCCCGACAGAGGGGGGGGGGGCGCCTGTCGTGAAGCTGTTGGAAGCCAAGGGAGGAGAAGCTCCCTCGTGGCCTCCCCAGACACGCGCCTTCCTCGCGGCAGCTGCTTCCCCAGCATGTCGGGAAAGGCGTCGCCCTCGGCTTCTCTCACGGCCCAGGTCAGGAGCGCCGGCCTCTCCTCTCCGGCCCCGGCCTCGCTCTCGGGGTTGGGCGCCAGCCCCTCCCCGCCCCCGCCGCCCCCCGCCGCCGCCTCCTCACCTTCAGGCTCCTCAGCGCCGCCGCCATGTTTCTCCCCGGAGGCCCCGCCCCCTTCGCCGGGGAGGGGCCTCCGGGAGGGCGGGGCCGCGCGCGGCTTCCGCCCTTCGAGGAGTCGCCTGTTTCCGCCCGGGACGGAGCCGCGCCGGTCCCGGGGGGGGGGCGGGGGGTCCGGAGCTGGCGGCCTGCAAAGAGGCGGCGCCTCGGCGTGGCGCGGCCGAGTCACCTGGGCGACCGAGGGAAGCTGCGGCTGAGAAAGGCCGGGTGTCCGCCGGGGAGAAGGCTGCTCAATTCCTCTAAGGGTAAGGAGGGGGCCGAGAGAGGATTGCTTTTGTTTCTGAATCCAAAAGTTAAAATTTCTAAACTACCAGTCATCTCGTATTTTTCCCAGAAAATATCCCGTCGCTCAAGTTGATGCCTTGTAGCCAAGCCATTGTTCTCCAACAAGAATGAACTCCAAAAAAAGAAACAAAGGCAGGACCCGCTCCTTCCTGCACTGAGTCACTTCAGAGTGCAAAAGGAGGCGGCGGCGGCATATTTGAACGCTCCCCACGTCGACTATGTCTTGCGTCTTAAGAAGTAGCATGGCTAGTCTAAAGTAACTCAACCTGATGGGCTGACTTTATATGGTTTCAAACTCCCCCTGAACAAGCGGGTTTAGGATCTGGGCAGGAGGTTGGGGGAGGGCGCTGTTCCTGGATCCATCTCTGGTGCTAGAGGCCCAGGGGACCTCTGTGACTCAACCTTTTACCAACCTTGGCAAGACAGCTACTGGCCCTGGCCACTGTCTGTCGTCCATGCACTACTTTCCAGACTGGACTACTGCAATGTGCTCTATGTGGAGCTGCCCTTGAGTTTGACCTGGAAGGTGCCACTAGTGCAAATGTGATGGCTCAACTGCAGAGTTGGGCAGAATATCACCATAATATTATGCCACTACTGAAAGCATTGCACTAGCTGCATTAGCTACTGAGCTAAGTTCAAGGAATTGGTGCTGGTATACCAAATGTCCATACAGTTTGGGACCAGGTTACCCAAAACATTGTTTATCCCTTATACATCCAGCTGATCACTACATTCTGCAGAAGAAAATCTGCAGATATCATCCTATCAGGAGTTCCATTCTGCATGATGTCGGAACCAGGCCTTTGGAACTACTTCCCTTTGCTTATCAGATAGGATAGGCACTGCCTGTTGCATTTTTGGCACCTGCTGAAGACTTTCCTCATTCAACTGAACCTTCTAAATGTCGGTATCTGAATTTGATTTTTTAAAGTCTTTTATGTATGCAATAGTTTTGTACGTGGTTTGTACTGCATTGAGAAATCACGTTGAGATGCTTTATTGGGTGCAATTTAAAAAGAAGCAGCAAGCAAAAAAGCCTCCCCTCCCCCATCAATGCACTCTTAATAAACCAAAACATGATTCCACTACTGACAGGCTTTAACAACTGCCAGTGTTGCTGGTATTTGGCAGTTCAATGTTTGTACATCTTAGTTTAGTTGTTGAGAAATAGCCATCATGCTTGTAACTCGGAAACAGAAAAGAGATTCATCGGGCATGTCTTGTTTTCAGAAACGATGCTGGCTCTTAGTGATCACAGCATCCTTTTCCAAGTGCTCCCCTGTTCAAGGACCTTTCCTGGTATCAAAGTCAAGCTTGACTGGTCAGTCAAGACCAGGGTCTTTCTTCCACTTTTTGCCTGCCTCACCTGCTCTGCAAGAATTCTCAATTACAAAAGCTCTGTAGGAGCTCTGTAAGCTCCTTTCGTACCCTTGGGTGCAGCTCATCAGGCTCCTTTTCCTTTTTAAGGCTGCAGCTCCCTCCTTTATTTATTCTGTTATTACCAGGTTGGGCACTGCCTTCCTTTTGGGTGAAGACAGAGGCAAAGTAGGTGTTGAGCAGTTCTGCCTTCTGTTATCCAAAAGGATTTCTCAGTCTTCTCCATACAGAGGATCTATGACTTGCTTGTTCTTCCTCTTGCTTCAAACACATCCAAAGAAACATTTGTATCTTCTATTTAACCTCTCTTGTAAGCCAGAGTACTTCATTGCACACTGGCAACATTTCCCTATTAAAGTTCTTAAATCAAAGTCCCATGTGTGTGGAGGGGGCTCTTTAGGGACTTATTCTGAAAATATTGTGGCTGGACATGCTGAACCTGCACTCATCACCCCTTTGAGGTGCAGCTTTTACAACCAATACCTTATCAGCCCATTTTTCAAATTTCAGCAATCACCTTCCCACACTTATTCACTCTCCTACTGCTCAACACTACTCCTCTTTTCAACAAAGTACTGCAAAGAACTCTAATGTATAGTGCAGACTGAAGTATGTAGATGGAACATGCCTATTTGCATAACTGTGTTCTACACATTTTCTGCGAATAGCTGTGGCTGTGGACCTCCAACAAGCATTGGTGGAAGAAAGGAGCCGTACACAAAGTTGGAAAGCTCTCTGTATATTAAGTGCTTTTTTTGTAGTAAAAAAAAAACAAACGTACAAAGTCCTGATACGAAATATACAAAAAACTCAGCCAAGGAAAACAGTTGCCTTTCTACAAATATCAGTAGCATTGCATAGAGCAGCCTCCATGGGGATAAGGATAAGGAAGGGGTCCAACCAGGTATGATGCTTTAGAAACATTGCTAGGAAACTATGCATAAATACATAGTTAAAGGGTGGGGTGACATCACATACATGTCTATAGTGCCATGCCAAGAAATATTCCCACACCACCACAGTACCCCAGAACATTTGGGAAATCCCTGGGCACAAAAGCAGAGCACTTCAGTCCTCCTCCCAGCCAGCCATTCTTTTCCCTCATACACAACAACCCCAAGCAGAACATTGTGCAACTAGGGAGCTGTTATTGCTTCGGCAAAGCCTCCAGGTGCAAGGCCTGCATCTGAATCAGCAGGGACCATTTTAAACCCATTGAGAATTGGCAGAGTACTATTGTCAGAAGACTTCCAAAAAATGTTGGGCCTTACTCTTTGGGGAGGAAGCAGGGTAAGGGCTATGTTTCAACTGCAGGAGGCACTAACTGGCCTATAGAGGGCATTCTAAAGCTGAAGTGTTTACAGGATGAGTAGAATCCTCACAGGGAGAAGTGCAGGGAAGGTGTGAAAGTCAGCAGCTTAATAATGCTGAATGGAAGAAAGGAACCCTGAGCTGTTTTGAAAAGGCCACTGGGCAGGCTATACCCTGAGTAGCCAACAGGGGACAGGGCAAGTATGCATATAGCCCCCATGCAGGCAGGTAGGAAGAGATGCTAAGCATCAGACAATGGGGATGGGGGAGTGCTGGTGTGTGGCAACATACACACCCCCAGGGCAGGGAGGGAAATGCAGTCGCTGCAATAAATAAAGGTACAAAATAACCCATGTGACTGCTCCTGAAACTTCCCACCACCATATCCTGCCATGTCCAAGTGCAATTGGTCAAAGTGCCACTGAGGTCACCATGAGGAAGTCCAACCAGACAGTCTTTCCATAATGATCTAGCCATCATCTTCTGCCTCAGAATCTTTCCCATCTGGCTCCTCACGGAGAGAGGAGCTGGGACCGGTAACACCCTCTTCTTGGCCACTCAGGACCTCTTCCACAGCTCCACCTGTATCAGCAAAGTGGGATACATCAAGATACTTCTGATCCTAGCCTACCAACCAGAACTGCCCTTTCCTTCCCGTTTCTGATTTTCCATTGTTCCTCAATCCCATTCCCTGGCTTCTGAGGTAAGCTAGCCATCTATTCCCTTCTGGATCAACATCTCCCTCCTCCCTGCCCCGAGCCCTGACTTGCCAGGACGATTTTTCATTTAGCATACTCTCTTTGATGTCCAGAAGCTGCCACAATTTTTTTTTGGGGGGGGGAGCCCTATTCCACCACTACTTACCTCGCCCACCCTCCTCCTCATCCATGATCTCATGCACATCCGTTGCATCCTCTTCTTCACCATCATCATCTACAATCACCACAAAGTCATCACCATTCTCTGTCTCACTAAACATCAAAGGAAGGAGGGAATGTGTCAGCATTTATCCATCATTTTCAGCTGGCCTCCCAGCTACAAATTACAAATCCCTCTCTTCATAAGTCAGCCTCCCTGCAACTTCATGCAGTTTCTGCTGCCACAAAACTTGACAGAGTTCACATGCACACACAACAGCAACTTTCTATTCTTGCCCACAGTATCACTCCTACCACAACCCAATAGACCCAGTGGCCCAGACTGCATGTCATGGTAAAACATAATTAAATGGTTTATCATTCATGAGCCATGTAACCAACCTCTTCTACCTTACTCCTCTGTACTAGCACAGAAGTGAAACAAACTACAATCCCTGGCTTAGCACTATGTCCAAACTTGAGATCATGGTTTATTTCACTCAAAGTATGAGCAGTTTAGAGTAAAATAAATCCATGATACCTGGTTCTGATGTAAAAGCCAGGGATCATGACTTGTTTCTTAGTTCAGGAAGTGGCTGTTTTTTATATAGTTATACAGATATTTCTTTCCATGACAGTGTTTGTATGGTTTGTCATGGCCTTTGGCTAGTACAATAAACCTTGCTTACTTACTAAATTAGATCACTCAGGCATCAGACAATTTTAGATGCCAATTACCCTTATTTGCATAGGAATCTTTTTCCAATTCATTTCCCCCCTGGAAAACACAGTGGGAATAAGGCCAGCAAAACAACCAACCAAATCATCCTCACCTGTCTTCTTCACCATTTTCACCACCTTCCCCCATCAAGTAGTACTGCAGCGGATTAGGCCAGAGGTCCTCTTTAATTATCTATAAGAAAGCAGAAAAGAGTTTAAAGAGTGTGGATATAAGGATGCAAGGAGCAATTTAGGACAGGGTATACTATCCACCTCGGCAATACGGTCCCCTGCTGGGAAGCTGTGGTCACAGAACCAAGTGAAGAAACTGCGGCCAAAATTCTTCCGGCCATGTGCTATTGGATCCTGGCTACGCCACCAGCGGATAGGTGTAGAGTGGGACACTAGTCTTCCTGGAAAGGATGGAGACACAAATGGAGAAGATGTGAGCAACAGCACATCATATCTGGGGTTCTGTTCCCATAAATATTGTCCCTACTG